AGCGAGCCCACTGTTTGTTACGTAGCCTCTGAGTCTGTACGCGTAGATGACCCGGCTTTGGCGCCTAAAGACCAGCAGAACTTGAAGAACCTGTAAGTGTACGTACTATTTGTCTTATTATTTTTCTCTTATTGCGCAGCATGGTGAGAGTGTGTGTCAAGCATTGCTTTTATCCTCCAACGTATGGCGTTGTCTAGATGCGAGTGCTTGTACTTGCTTTCCGAGTTCCAAGTGTCGAATAGGTCCAAGCATATACAGTCAAGTAGTTACTAGGAGACATACCCACTGTGAGGTCCTGAAACTGGAACTTGTAAATGGCCGGTTTTTCATTTTGATCTTTGTAGTTAATGAAGACACTTATTTGACGGTTCAAGCTTGCGCCACGTGAAGTGCATTCTTTGTCAAATGATACGCTAATTTCACGATACGCCTCTGAACAACATTTAAAGGCACAAACGAAGCATGTTCCGGATATAATAATTTTAATGTGCATTTTAAAATGGGCTCAAAAAAACATGTGCTTCTATGACAGTGTGCATGAATAAGCTACCATACATGTACTGTAACACAAAATTCCACCGTGCCACACAGATGGGTGAGCGCGGAGAAGCTGACTTGTGTGTTGGTGAAGTTATGTTGATGGTAGGCTTGCTTTAGACTTTCTACAGAAATCCACCCTTCCTCACTCACAAGGGTCAGGCATCAAACCAAATTCAAGAAGGCCGGAGGCGGGCGAGGTTCAAGATTGTTTGTGGCGTGACCCTGTGCGTAGGTGTGCCACCGCACAAACCATGCGTGGGATTTGTTAGAAATATGCATCCTTAATAACGATCGTTGGGTCCTGTTTAGCCTCCCTTCCCTGTTAGTCCAGCGCACCTACCGGTTGGGCTGCGGCTAAACGGTGATACAAAATAATTCAGCATAATACTTCAACATAATTTCAGCAGGATTTAGAAAGTCCTTGTATCTAACTCTAACAGAAACCGTTTGTACGAATTACTTCAAAATTCTGATTTATAAGTGTTTGTATGATTGAAGAAGATCAGTCGAGCTCCGGCACAGATCTTTTTTATATTCTGAACTTTCGAATTCGTGCGGGACTTAATTGTCTGATAAAGTAGCAACGCCAGAACACAATTAAACTTATAGCGGGGAGTTGGAATGCATGCCAATAAACGATGCCTGAAACAAGTGTGGAGGTGACGGCTCAGAGCCAAATCAATCTATCGATTAATTGATTTCCCATCCGAGGACCAGTGTCACAACAGTAAGGACTGCGAATTGAGGCGAATGTTCGCATCCCAGGAACGTGAATATTTTGAGAAAAAGAATTTTCGAACACTGGAATAATCATTTCATTAGCCTGAGCTTTCGGGCTCCTGCAGGAGCCCATCATCAGAGTAGGGACTAGCCACCTAATTTGTTGCTGCTTTTCCCTACTCTGACGATGGGCTCTTGCAAGAGCCCGAAAGCTCAGGCTAATAAAATGATTATTCCAGTATTCGAAAATTCTTCTCAAAAGTAAGGACTGCGTATAGATGGCTAATCGCGAGTAGGTCTGCAACATGATCGATAATCGTTCCTTCACCATCGCAAATGTTCCCGATATAAATCTGCGGGACAACAGACTCTTGACTCAATGGTGTGCGTTTCAACTGGCAGACGGCCTTTTAACCACAAAATCGGGGTTCCAATTCAGGGTCATCCAGGCCTGGAAAAATGGATGGCTAACCGATGACGCCGATTTTTATAGCTTTGTAGAATCGAACCCGAGAAGTTTGTGTCCATGTACTCGTACTTCGGGCTACCTAAAGCCTATGGCCGACTAGAAGCACATGTGCGTCCGTATTGAAGTCGTCGTCTGGA